GACACAGGCGGGGAGAGATAGTCTGAGTAGCCAGGATTTGTTGATTCAGTTTAGGAAGAAGCTATTAACACGGGGTGGAGCTGGTTCAGGAAAGTGATGCAACAATTTTGCAGGATGAACACCGCACCCCCAGTGAGTCAGTGCCAAGCACTAGAATGAACTCTACTGGCCAAGCTGGTCCTGCAAATTGATTTGAAGCCAGGTTTACAACTGCTGGAGCAAGCATGATGGCCCCACAATTCAAAATGATGAGGTGGTGACTCTGTGTCTGGCAGTATTTCCCCCACAACATTTTATTTATTGTTGATTACACCCTCTGTCCTCTTTGGTTCAGAGTGAACACTCAATACATATGTATCGAAGGCGTGAAGTCTGCCCCACTCCAGTAAATGAAAGGTGGGGACAGATGGCCCATAGCTCAAGCCAGCTCCCTAAAGGTTTCTGTGGCTCTTCCCCTTTTCCTTCCATCCTCTCTTCTCCCTTCCCCTCCCTTCCCCCTTCCCCTCCCTTCCATTCTTTAACAATTTAATCCAAAAGCCATAAGGTGGGCCCCCAGCAAGATAAACATCAGCAATGGAGGGAGGGGGAGAGGGGAGATGCTGGTCCACAGAGGGGTGTCATAGCCCAAATGGGGTAAGAAGACTGTCTGGGGTGACGATGGCCCAGCACAGGGGGACCAGGGCTTGTATGAGTGAGGAGGGTGTCCTCGTGGAAAGGCAGCTTGGTGTGGGGTGGCAGAGCTTGAATGGGACGTAGAGGGTATCCTTACTGGGCAGAGGGCAGCCTCAACAGTAAAAAGTTGTTACGTATGGGGGATTGGTCAAATAAGTCAACATGCTGAAAACAATGAGAATACTAGGTTTCTCATGGTTGGTAAGAGAAGGGAGTTACCAGTATGGAAAGACTAAAATTAACCCTGTGGAGTTAGGGTGGCATTGGATCTATTAGGGTGAACTCATGGTTTTCAATATAGAGAGAAGACTGCAGAGACAAATATAGATAAATATGGATATAAATGTGTGTGTAACTTGGTCCACTGAGGTGATCTAAGAGCAGTGACACCCCAGTAACCATAAGCACATCTAGGTCTTGGTTTCTAAGTATCATTTCTTACTAAAAAGAACCTGGATTCTTTGGAGAAGTGGCTGGTTTCAGAACTAGGGCAGAGAAAGATGAGCCTGGCATATCTTGTGCCAGTCAGTAAGGAAGTGTTTGAAGAATGATGGGGACATATCAAAGGGCACAAAAGCCAGCTTAAAGGGGCTGTCATGGGCCAAATCTAGTATATATTGGGCACCCAAATATATAATAACAGTAAAGGACTATAATCCATGGAATCAAGATTCTGTGCTGATGGAGACAAATAAATAGGAAGTTTGATGAGAGATGGGATATTTACCTAGGCTCGAAGTACCTCCCTATGAAATATTTATTCATTTCAAAGAGGAAAAGAGCAGATTCAGAGTGGAGAAGCCTGGAAGACATCACCTTATTCAAGCGATCACAACATCACCAATAATGGGACATACTGAAGTCACCTATCATCTGTTATGATGCAGTAAGGACACAGAATGACTTCTGTACTATTTCACGATGTACAGAATCCATCACCTGCATCTAATTGAGAAGAAACATGAGGCAAACCTAACCCGAGGGACATTCTTGTTCTCCAAAGCAGCTGCCCTGCCTCTTCAAAAGTGTCCAGGTCATAAGAGCCAAACAAAGACTGAGGAATGTTCCAGACTAAAGGAGACTCAAGAGACAGGACAACCACATGCAATATGAGATCCCGAACCAGACCCTTTTGCTAGACAAGACATCGTTTTGACAAATGGTGAGACTTAATGAGGTGTGAGTATTAGATTGGTAAAAATGTATCAGTGTTAATTTCCTGCATGGATGGATGTCTTGCGATTCTGTAGGAGAACATCCTTCTCTGGAGGAAATACATATTCAAATATTTATGGTGATGGGGCATTGTGTCAGCAACTTATGCTCAAATGATTCAGGAACAAAAAGCTATTTGAACTGTACACCTAAAATTTCTCTGTAAGTTTGAGATCATGTCAAAAGAAAAAAGAAAAATTTTGTGTTGCTTACATAATGTTTAAAATGAAAAAAAGTTGCCAACATCTAAAAAAAAAAGTCAAGAGATTTTGCCCTCAAATCTAGGTTTCTGACTTCCCTTGAGAAATCTGAAAAGCTAAGAAGTGTAGGCAATGAGTGGACAGGTGAATAGCCGCAGTGCCCTTTAGATGATCTGTGTGACTCCCAGTTTTCCACAGTCCCCACCAGTCCTTACTGTGTAACACTCACCCTACAGCATCCATTGATGCTGCCAACCTGGCCCTGGGACCTGCCAACCTCTGTCATTAACTATGAGAATCCACCACAGACAGGCACTTAAAGCATTTGTTAGATGGATGGGTGGGTAGATGGATGGATGGACGATCTTTCAAGGCATTGCATTAACCCAGAGCAATGACCTATCTTAACACATCAAACCTATGTCCCATGGCCAGATAATTCTCCCAGACTTGAGTTTTGGTTTTTTTTTTTATATCAGTCATGGTCTCTGGTGATTTGGCTACAATGGAGCAAGTTGAGAAGTCAGGGCATCATCTGAAGCTGGAGGTTCCCTTGTGGGTTGTGATCTCTGTGGAATTAATGGAGGTGTCTGAAAGGTGGGTGGGGGTCTGGTACTGGGTCAGAGTTCTGGGCGGGCTGGTGAGGGATGCTTCAAGGAGATGGTATCTTAGGATGCCTGAGGTGGTAAGGTTGGGTGGGTTGGAGAACAAGCCAAAATTGATGGCTTGGGCTGCTATCAGTGGGAGATCTGATGTGATGGGACATGTCAGGGTTGGGGTGATGAGTAAGAAGTGATGACAGCCTTGTCTTCCCTAGATCCACTCACTTCCTGACTATCCGTGGGTCATTCTCTTGGTTTGGAACAGCCTCTTCTCCCATCTGCTCCCTGAAAGATGACACTGAAAATAGTAAATAAGATCTGGCCATTTTTTTGCCCTGACACCAGTGATTTCTAATTGACTTTAGGATAAAATCCAAACTCTATACCTCTTTCTACCTAACCCAGCAAACCCCTGCTTACCTCCCTGGGCTCAAGTCCTATCACTCCACTTCTCTGCCTCTTGTTCTCGCTTCCCTGGTCCCCTGGGCTGCTTGCACACACCAAGCTTTGCCCTCTTAAGGCTTTGGCATGTATTCCAGCTGCTCAGGCTGTCTCCTCCTTCTCCTTCAGGTCTTGGATCAAATGGCACCACTTCACAGGTACTCACTGCCCCTAATTCCCTACATCCCATCTCAACCATGCCCTTAAGTTACCCCCTGGCACTCCACTCTGTTTATTTTCCTCATGTATACTTATCAGTATCTGAAATTGTCTTATTCACTTGTGTATTGTATTGTATCACGTTGTATTGTCTTGTGGTGTGTTGTCACCCCAACTAGAATGTCGGCCCCACAGGAGCAGGGATGTTGCTGTACTGTTCATCACTTTACCCTCAGTGCCTCACACAGTGCCTGACACACAGTGGGGACAGAATGAACTGTTTATTCTGGAATGAATGAGCAGCTCTTAACAACCATTTGCTAGACTTTTGGAGCAGGTAGGCATTGGGCTTTAGGACACAAGCATCTAGGTGGGTAGTGGCTGAGGTTAATTGTGCTCCCAGTTGTGACAAGCATACACCCTGGGCTATTGGGGTAGGTTAGGTTTGGGGAAACAGCGCCAATAGGATGGTGATTGAGTTGGATTATGAGCTGGGTTGGGTCCATCAGGTAACATCAGACTATTGAGGTCAGATTGGATCCCAGATTTCAGGAAACGGGGGTCCTAGTTAGGCATGGCTGAGTTTAACTTGTGACTTGAGCAGTGTCCACGGGTATAAGATGACTGGAGGAAAAGAATCAAGCGTGTCCACTGGTTGTAGCTAAAGAGAACTGTGACCAGAGCAGTGTCCCAAAAGTCACTTGGGGCTGTTGGGGCTGTTTGCAAGGAAACAGGTGTTCTGGGGGACGCTGGCTGAGTTGGGCTGTAACCTGGGCTGGGTTGTGGGTTGTGAGTTGTGGCCTGCGCCAGCTCCACGCCCCCATCAGGGGAGGACTCGATCCAAGCCGGCCCGCCCAGGTTGGTGGTGCCACGCCGAGGGCGGCAGGAAACTATCCCTGGGAGCGGCTC